TTAATCTGTTCTTCCGTCATCAGCTCCTTTCTAATTCATGATCAGACATTATATTTGTATGTATATGCAAAAATGTACCCATCAAGTAGGCAAACATTCAAAACATCCTGATTTCGATCATGACATGTTGTTGGAGTAGAAGCATATAGAGCAGCACCAGGTAGTAATGCCATTGCCCCAGGCTCCTAAAAGCAGCCACTCGTATCGCTCGATGAGCCTCTACATACAATTAGCGGTATGACAAATCCTATGATGTGATCATTGATGGGACTGAACAAATAAACAAAACTAAGGACTCGAGCTCGCGATAGAGCGGCTGCCGGGAAAGTCAGTCGGGAAACTCCGAGACCATTGATTAACCCTAACATTGGGTCCCAACCCCAAGGCCTTTCTGGGCTTGCGTGACAATGGTCCGGTTTGGACTTGGGGCTCCAACCCAACATTGACAAATACTACGTCTGGCATTAGAGGAGAGGCTACGGAACACGTAGGACGAAAACACGTAGGACAAGTGCAGAACTGTGCCGCAGTAGGATACAATAATATGCTTGTCATGCCCAGTCTCCAACGTGGACATTTTACCGATGTCGTGTCAGTTCAAAACTATATAAGTACAACCTTCCATCCTTGCTTCCATCATTACAAAAAGATAGTATCTAACTACCCAATGTCGAAACTACAATACCTCAACGAAGTGAAATCTATCTTGAATGCCTTTGAGGATTCAGACATCACTAGTCACTGCCCACCAATTTCTTCACGTACTTCTTTCGTCAAACATTTTTGCAGACCATCCCGTCACGCTGTCCATTATCGAGGACCTCGACACTATTCTCGACACCGATGCGGTTCCGGATAGGGGATTTTTTCCAAAACAGTGTTGGTGACAGAAATGTGACGCACCTTCCCATGGTGCTGACTTGGGACCCAACGTTAGGGTTAATCAATGATCTCCGAGTTCCCCGACTGACTTTCCCGGCAGCCGCTCTCTCGCGAGTTTGAGTTCTTAGGTTTGTTTATTTGGTCTTTCCCATCAGATTATATAACGATCACAAATATAGTTCTCCTCCTGAGTACGAAAACCTTGCGAGACGAGCGGCTGCTTTTAGGAGCCTGGGGTGATACGAGGCAATGTTGTTACTGTTGTGCAGACGGCAGGTGCTCGGCAAGTACTCAAACAATCTCCGACGTAGGTTTCTAAAAACATAGCCAAACAACATTTGACAGAGGATGGAGGGGGGGTTTCAAACCGACGACGAGAGACCCCTGGGTTTCTGGCGGAAAGGGGGTTTCTGATTAGATTTATCCCATTTTGAAATGGAAAAGACACAAAGAAAGATTACAAAAAAAAGTAAGTAGGACGAAGCAGATGTTCTCGAAGTTGGTGAGAGTCTTATCAA